ATCTCTGAATACGAGGCCAGTGGCAACAGCTGTGTGCCAGGCAGGTTGGCATGAGCTTCTTACAAACAGGCCAAGGCCGGATCTACAGCAGCGCTCATCAGACTTGTGTCTCTGCGTATGATGGCGTGTGACGATGTGAGAGGTAATTAATCACACAGAATGCTGATGCTGCAGTGTTCTGGGTGGTAACCAGGGTGTTGCTATGGGGTTGCTAAGGTGTCCTGAGGGATACAGTGTAACAGTCGGGTTCCATTCAAAAAAAAAATTGGGAAATAGATTTTTAGTGATAAACCCTTAACTCTCATGTTGGGTTCATTGCAGTCATTTTGACCTGGAGAGGATTTTCTTTTGCCCGAAAATGCTAGGGAGCAGTAGGGTATAACAACTTCCCCAAAAAAGTTGATAATTTTGGTTCTTTTTCGGGGGTATTTTGCCAACCTTGTTAAACTCGTGGTGTTCGCGGTCAAAAATTACCAGCCTACAAAAAATTGCTTATAAATATTATTACCAAAACCTGGATTCAATATTTTCATCAACTTGTTTTCTTTGAGTTAGCACAGGTTTTGTATTATGTAGTTTATGCATCCCAGGTTTTGAGTGAACATTGTCAAAATGATCCACAAATAATTTTTCTTTCATTAAAAAACTGAAGTGCATAAGCTCAGATCAGTGAGGTCTACGACCAATCAGTGTCAAAACTACAAAACCTGTGCTAACTCAAAGAAAACAAGTTGACAAAAAGAATGAGTCAAAGATTTGTTAAAGGATTAAAGAAGGGTTAAAGACAAATATACTGTAATGTCAGAGGTTGTTAATCGTTGGTATTTGCTTCTTTTGAAGCCATTATTTCAACTTATTTTTTAAAGAATCATGTTTGACGGTGGAATTTGTGGGGAAAAACTGCATTACCCTTAATTCTGTGAAGAAAATTCCACCAATCACAGAATAGCAGCGAGCTCTGCTTTTAAATTCCTCCAATCAGAGAGTAGTGTTGAGCTCTGCTTTTAAATTCCTCCAATCATAGAGTAGTGTTGAGCTCTGCTTTTAAATTCCTCCAATCATAGAGTAGTGTTGAGCTCTGCTTTTAAATTCCTCCAATCAGAGAGTTGCGGTGAGCTCAGCGTTTAAATTTCATCATCATTTTTTATTTGATTATGTCATTCGAAATGCTTCATGGGATTGTAGTTCTTTCCCTCATTAAAGCTGTTCAAATTTCAGAATCTTGTACTGTCTTTTTGTCAGATTTTCAAATATTATTTTGAGTCAAACCAAAGTTCATAATGTGGATTCTCTTTGTAGCTGGTTGGTCTGGTTCATGGCTTATGAACTCTTAAACAAAGACTTATTAAAATAATCTACAATAGAAAAATGACTGAAAAAAAAAATACTTCTGAAAGCAGTGCCACGGAAAAAGTGGGCGGGCACTATTAACACGTTGCTATGTGGTTGCTTACCGGCCCAAGTCAGTTTTATGATATTCTGGTCCCTCCTTGAAAGTTAACGTGATTTTTTTTTCTGTGCGCAATCATTTAGAAACGTACATTAACAGCATATTTAAAGCCTGCTGTCATATCACGAAAGCTTTTGAGTAATTTCCCCACCGAAAGCAAAATTGTTTGCATAAAACGTAAGTGGAAGAAACATCTGTCAGTCACCATTAATGGCTGACAGAATGCAATGCACTTTTATTAGATTATCCCACCACAAAAGGTCGTCTTGTTAAGAACTTTGGCCATAATGTCAGACTGCAACAGACTTGAATATAAACACGTACTAAAGACAGTCAAGCACGGCGTGTTCCTGGTTCTATTCTCTGCCACATGAAAGTAATTCATGACAGCTTGTGTGTATTTACTGGTCCTGGGGCTCAGTGTGAAAACTGAAATTTGGCAGCGTCTTCTAACATTTTTTTTTTTCAGGTAGTGAGAGCAACTGAGAAGTTGAAGCAAACAGCACACACAACTCACAAGTCCAGACATCAATTCAGATGAAGCGGCTTTTTCATAATTGAAGGATAACTGGAGCTTTTTGCCAGATCAGGTTCCTCTGAGAGAGAAAACACTGGGCTGTTTCTCTTTTCCGTGACAAGTTTCTGTTCAATGTATCGGTAAAACTTTAAAGCGTTTCTTTTTTGTCTGAGAAATGTCTTGATGGTTCTTATAAATCTAGTTGATCACATAATGACCCAATATTGATGTACAAAATGGATTTTGTCCGGAAATATATCCTGAATTCTTTGTAACCCAACCATAGGATGGATTATTTCTTCAATGTGTCATATACAGCACAAAGAGCATGGCTGTGTTCAGAACAGTAAACTAGCATCCTATTCTTAATGTGCACAGTATGTGAATTTTTTGTATGCATGGAATACCATGGAATATGCATGGAATACTAGTACACTAACACTTGATGGCTGTGCTGTCAATTCTTCGTCATCAGTTAAGAACCTAGGTGTGCTATTTGATAGCAACCTTTCCTTTGAAAGTAATGTTTCTAGCATTTGTAAAACCGCATTTTTCTATCTAAATTACGACCTATGCTCTCAATGTCAAATGCAGAAGTGTTAATTCATGCGTTCATGACCTCAAGGTCAGATTATTGTAATGCTTTATTGGGTGGTTGTTCTGCACGCTTAATAAACAAACTCCAGCTGATCCAAAATGCAGCAGCTAGACTTCTTACTAGAACCAGGAAGTACGACCATATTAGCCCGGTTCTGTCAACTCTGCACTGGCTCCCTATTGAATACATTTTAAACTTTTGCTAATTACTTATAAAGCCCTGAATGGTTTAGCTCCTCGGTACTTGAGTGAGCTCTTATCGCATTATAGTCCTTCAAGTCCACTGCGATCTCAAAACTCTGGCCATTTGATAATACCTAGAATATCAAAATCAACTGCGGGCGGCAGATCCTTTTCCTATTTAGTGTCCAAACTCTGCAACAATCTACTTAGCATTGTTCGGGAGGCAGACACGCTCTGTCAGTGTTAATCTAGATTAAAGACCCATCTCTTTAACCTGGTTTACACAGAACACACTATCACATTTCTATAATACAAATCTGTTAAATGATTGTCAGGCTGCATTAAATAGGACAACCGGAACCGGGAACACTTCCCATAACACTGATGTACTCGCAATATCGTAAGAAGAATGGCATCTATGCTAATATTAGTCTGTTTCATTATTATTCCGAGGTCACCGTAGATCCACCCAGATCCAGTCCAGATGGTGGATCAGCACCTAAAGACGACCTCTACAGCCCTGAATGTCAGCGGAGACCACGTCAACTAGATGCGCCCCAGAGACAGATCCCCTGCGAAGACCTCATCACCTCGGCACAAGACCACGTGAACCATACAATTCCTCTGCACAATCTGACCTGTGTTGCAGCCTGGAATTAAAGCACACCATGCTGGTTTCATCTGGCCAGAGGAGAACTGGCCCCACGACTGAGCCTGGTTTCTCCCAAGGTTTTTTTCTCCATTTCTATCGCCGATGGAGTCTTGGTTCCTTGCCACTGTCACCTTTGGCTTGCTTAGTTGGGGACACCATTTCTGGCAACATAGTTGACTTGACTGCACAAACACTATTGCAAGAGGACTGAACTGAGAAAACGGACTGTGTTTTATTGTCCTCCTGCATTATCAGCACACGTTTTTCCTGTTTAACTCTGTAAAGCTGCTTTGACACAATCTGTATAAAGTGCTATATAAATAAAGGTGACTTGACTTGAATTCTGAGTTTACATCTCACAATTCTGTTTTTTTTCTGCCATGTAATAAAAAATAAAGGTAATTTTGACTTTTTATCTCTCAGATTTTTTTTTTGCAATTGTGCATTTATATTTCACAATTCTGTGTTTATATCTAGCATTTCTGACTTTTTCTCTGAATTCTGAGTTTACATCTCACAATTATATATATATACAGTATATATATATATATATATATATATATATATATATATATATATATATACTGTAATGCATTGAACTGAACATGAAATTTAGAAATTTAGAAAACTGTAGTATTTTCTTGTAAAACATACTCCAATAATCTTTGTTTTACTTACAACAGGCGCCACATTCTGAATGAATATTAACATAATCAGGTCATGTGACATAAAATACAGTTTAAAATGTTTCTCATGAAATCACGCAAACTATTAAAAAATTAAAAACAGTAAGAAGATAGTATGCATCTTACCATAATAATCATTTTAAACTAGTGTATTTTACTTGTTTCATTCAGAATGTGGTAAAAAAAAAAGTTTTTTGAAGTAGTAAATAACGATTATAAATAAAGATACTATTTCAGTTTTTCTACCTCAAAATTTTACGTTTAATTCAATGTGTTACTTGCTGTTTCTTTGTAATTTATTGTGAAATTTACAAGCAATACCTGAGTGCAAATAGTTTCTACATAATTTTTTTTAAAGTGTAACTATGTTGCATTTTTAATTACATTTTTGTAAATTCGATTATGTACAAATTTATAGTCACAAAATATTAAATAGATATTATTACCGCTAACATTATTCATGTTTCTTCATCACGCAGGAAATTGAGCGGGTTTAAAAACAGCACAGTATGCAGTACGTACTGCGCAGTATGCAGTGCGCTAATATTCCATTGAGAACACAGCCAGAGCGCAGGTCAGAGGTCGAGGGGTTTGTACGGGCGCTCGCTCTTAAGAGCACGTTGACTGACAGACACAAGAGGCCAATACAGTAAACATTTTCACAAGTCAAGCGGCCTTGACAGCACGTGTTTGTATTTGCCTCTCACTGAACACGCCTGCTGCTCCTCAAAGGCCGTCTTTGTGCATTGAGGCGTGCTGAATCCATTTCTAAAACAGTACCGTAACACAATCTATGCATCAATTCATGCATCGGGCTGCACGGATGGTGCGCTGTGCCACGACGCTGCACAACATCATTCATCTGGTTTTGCGTGTGCTAATCACATGATGTGTGATATTTGGGGTGGTACTCACTTCGCGGCTCCCGCGGTCCGTCCACTGTGACCTTTATGGCTCGGTGGTAAGTAGCCACTTGCGGTGGGTTCGTGAATACTGTGATTGTCAGCATGAAGCTCTTTCCTGCAAAACACAAAAAGGTTCAAACCCGATTAATCCGCCGGACAATGTGTCGCATTCATCGCCACGCGTCATTTGCATTTCTCTGCTGGTGACGGTGGGATTTTAACTGCGAGGAACTCGGGCGATTGAAAAGGCCTGGGCGCAACGGAATAATGGAATTAGTTTGGAAAGTGACCCTTGCTGAGCATTGAATTCATAAATATCAGTTGTTGGACATGACAAATCAGAAATGCATAAAACAGACCATGTTAGAATTCATATAGCGTTCATCCAAGTGGAATAAACCATTTATGTATTGTACACCAGTGACTTTATAATATTAGTTATAAATGTTGCAGCATATGTGAATCATTTTATAAATATATTTAAATGTATTTCATTGAAAGATTTTAAGTTCTTAACGTTTAATTTGTTTAATTAATAAATATTTATTTTATTATGAATTTAATCTTTTTATTCACATGTATTATCTTTATTGATATTTAAGAGATTTGATACTGCATAAAAAGTAATGCATACATTATTATTGGTGGATCTCTCTTCTGGATTTTTTTAATTAAGAAAATGACTACAATTTTTATTTTTGGACCACTACTGTTGCTTTATAATATTATTTATATAGAATATGAATGTATAAATGTAAAAGCGTATACATTAATAATATTATAAAGCAACAGTACTTTTCATGCACTGGCATTTGGTTTTCTTTTTTTAAAACAGCCAAGAATAAACATCGGCAGCAGTGCTGTTATTAGTCGTTATTCTTTTATGTGTGAACATTAGAGGGTTGGGTGTGAAGGTGGGGTCCTGCGGTCACAGATTTTCATCTTATGTGACCTTTTACCGATCAACATTTTTCAGATGAAATGTTCATAAATGTGTGCACTCGTAGTGTTTAAAAACTTCCAATTAACTTCAACACAAGATATTGTTACACTAAAGAGGTGACACTTTCTGTCAGTAGCACACAGGAAATACTAAGATACTTCTAATGAGGCAAACTCGGCAGTAATGTGCAAAGCATGCTGTGAAGTCAGGCATGACACATTCTCAGAGCTGCGTGCGATCTGCAATAAGACAGGAAGAAGTGGGTGGAAAGAACTGACACAATACGGCAGGCAGCTACACTTGGTTTAGGCTTCTTACTGTAGATCATCCATCAGGGTGAACGGCTTCAAAACTGGGATTAATTGACTAACTCTAACTCTTGAGGTTTTTTTTGCTTCATTAACTATTGCATTTCTCATGTGCATATGTGTTTTCTAGAACTGCACCATTTTTGATTTACCAACATTCTGCAATAAATCTGGCTAAAGCTCTTTCTAACATAAATTGAACATATAATTAATTAAATAATATATTTTATAGAATAAACACTCCCACATTTTTGATTTCCTGATGTTCTTGTGCATGTTATGCAATACATCTTGCTAAAGTAATATGTTTTTCTTTTCTCCCACAGGAATCCGTCTATAAGCCCCCAAAAGCACGTTCACAGACCCACCTGCTGATACCAAACAAACCAGAGTTTAACCAACCCGCTCCACCAACCCTGGCATCTGTCATCCATCCAAGGGTTTTCTGTTCGAAATGATTTCCTAAACAGAACGAGACAGACTACATCTGAAATGCATAGACTCCTGATCAACAACAAACATCACCCTGTCCTGACCGAACCAGTGTATCCGAATCCATTCATAAATAAGGGTGCAGTACTGTGTTTTGTGTTTTGTCTCAGGAAACGCAGTTGCTTTTAGAAATTCGAGGCGGGTTATTTTTTCTGCTGTCATTTATTTGATTGTGGTCGATCTTATTCTAATCTTCCACATCGCGCCTCGTATCGTTTTCCATATTTAATTTCCTTATGCTGTGCTATCTCCTCCCTGACTTCCTCTTCCAGATCCCATATCATAGATAGAAGAAACTTAAGCCTGTGAAGGTGTGGGTCTCTGTGCGGGCCAAGGCCCTGTTGACTGTGACAGCTGTGAGGAGATAACACGGCTGCGCACACATGCACACTGATAGCGTGTTGAGGGTGTGTGAGGACATGCATTGCTGCAGGAATGTGCTGAGACCAGCCCACTGGTCAAGAAACCACCACATATGCACAGCCAATGTCCACTCGGACTGATAACAGATACATCAGCAAATGAAAGAGTTGCAATAGACTGATTTATAGGGTGGATTATTGGCAAATTCATGTCCACAAGGCCGATTAACATTTTTTCCCCTAATATTTGTTCCAAAATCTATCAGCAGCCTTGTCAGTGGATAGTAAAAAAAAATTCTTTTTTTTTTTTTTTTTCAAATATTTTTCATGCATTTAGTGTACATGTTGTGTAAAGTATCTGGTTATCTGAATTTTTTTTTCTTTTTATTGTCCAAAGCCCATAACAATATCTACAAAACAGGATGGCTGATGACCAATGTTATATAAAATCTAAATAAATAAATAAACGTATAAAATTACATATAAATGTATTATTTAACATATTATTTATATAGACATTATATATATATATATATATATATATATATATATATATATATATAATGTCTATTTTTTACATAACATTTTAGCATTTTAGTTTTGGGAAGGGGGGAGGGGTCGTTTAGATAAATTAATTGGTACATCATGAAATCATTACACAATTTTGAACAGGAATAATAGAAGCTACCATATATATATATAATGTCTATTTTTTACATAACATTTTAGATATTAATTTAAAATTTTATATATCATAATTAAATTTATTTATAGATTTTTTTTTTTTTTTATAAAAATGTTACATGTGTCTCATTAATAATTGTAATTAAAGTTAACACAATTTTACATTACACAATATTTACTAAATTCATTATTACAATATCTTGTTAGCTTTTATGTGTCATATATATATCTACACACAAGTATAAATAAAAAATTTAATATTACAAATTGAATTGCCCAATGCAGTTTAATAATTGTATATAATTATGATAGCAAATACAATGTATATATATATATTTTTTAAAAATGTAACACTCTTTTACACTTTATTTACTCAAAATGCATTATTATTATATATTTATATCTTTTCAGATTTTGGAATTAACACTGGCAGATTGACCACTTCTGTTAATACTGATAAATCTGAAAATAACCAAATATCAGACTACATTGATGTTTATCACATTATGCATACTGTATCAGCCATCAGCCATTGAGAAGCCCATAGACGTCGACTGCACTTCCCCAAACACCTGGAGCTGTTTTCAAGTGTTTTGAGTCTGTCGTTTGTGGGCGCCATGCGAGGGATTCCCTGCTGCACACGTCCGTGCCTCACTTTAAGTGCTCGTGTGGATTATAGGGGCAAGTCTAGACCGCTCGCCCGAGTATACGCAGCCTCCAGCGGCAGACAGACCGCTGCTCTGATCTCACTGCCTGTCCCGGGACACTTCAAAGACCTGCGCTCTCAATGCCTTCTTCCGACAGGATCACAAGAGCGGGATTTTGTCTTTGACAATAATTGCAAGCATATCAAAAGCTGCATTCATCCACACATAAGCAGCCTGTGAGCACTTTGAGCCCGCGTTCACGTCTTAAAGACTTTTTTTATTTGGGCGCATAGGGTGGATGTAACACAAAAGTACTAGATAGGAAATGCCAGTGAATGAATTGGAAATACTTTGCAGTTTTTATTTTGCAACAGTTACAGCCTACTATTTTTTTGTGTGTGTGCGTCAGGCTTTGGGAATGCTGAAATGACAGTCTTTTTTTGGAAAGCACCCTTATTGTCAACATGCAAGCACTCAAATTGTTGGACGCTGGTGGAAAATAATAATGCCTTTCTGTGGTTCATTTCCAATTCTGCAGCTCTTTTCAGTATTTCTGTAAGTGAGGAATCTTGGACAGTGTTCTATTGTGTTCATGTTAAACATGCAGTGCATAATTTGTATTATTTCTTTAAAGGCTACACAGAAGCAATCCACACACTTAATCAATCCATTTTATCGCACTGTTTGTGGTAAAACTTGACTTTCAGTCCATTTGGATTCTGCACTTGATGTCATTTATTGTAAACTAAATGTCTTACGTGATTTTACACTTTTTTTATGATTCAGCCAAAGCAAACGAAGCGGCCAGTGAAGAATAAATACAATTAAAGTGGAAGTACCAACCTCTTCCACTCCTGCCAACAAATCTCAGGTCGTTGAAACGCGCCACCTGATTCTTCATGACAGCTGAGGCGTTCCGCAGCTCTGCCGAGTAGTTCTCGTCATTTCCTGCCATAACTGTCACCACCGTCGCATCAGAAACATCTCCCAGAGCAACAACCTGAACAGAAACGGACACACTGTGACTGTCCCGCTGTAATTTACCCTGCATTTCACTGCAGTCTGAGTGTTTATTCATATTCTGATGAAAACAGGCCTGTGATCCTGATTGGAAGTGACATTATGAAGCGAGACTGCTGGCCTCAGAGGGTTAATAACACGATAAATCTATTAAAACTTGCAAATATAGCACTAAACAAAAGCTAGATTGTTTTTAAATGTGACATTTTAAATCGTGTATGTAAGAAATTCACCTTAAATTGGTCAGAAACCTCAGTATAACGCAAATACACGAATACTGTAACTTTACTATTGAACAGTGAGCATAAAATCTAAAGCAAATGTATTCAACAGACTGTCAAAAATATATTCCAATTTTGTTCAAATGTAAGCATTATGAAAATTTTAATAAATATATAAAAAACGTTTATTTATTGCCAAAAATGATATAGGAAAATATTTAGTAATTTTGTTAATATATACTTTTTTTTTCTTAAATGCACAAAGGTTACTTTGTGCCACTTTTTTTTTTCTTTTCAAAACTTGGATTTTGCTATAAAATGCAAATTCTACAAGTGACCAAATCTTATTTGAGAAGAACAACAAAAAGCAAGCTTTAATTGAGGCGAATGTTTTGGTGTTCAGTGTGAGCAGGAGGGCTCAGATTTACAAGCTCAAATAATTGAACAAAAGTATGTTTACAGAATAAGCCCGAGCGAAACGATTCCTGCTACAGATACTAGCTGCAGTCTGCTCGTATGAAATATTCTATCTTTAGTGAAAGTATTAATAGTTGTGTGTAATTTAGGCCGTGTGATTAAACATGCATGTGTTTGTGTCTATGAATAGCTTCAAATCTCTCAGATTTCACTTGTCTCTCTCCAGCACGGCAGGATTCCTCATTTGAAACTTCTGTAACTCCCATAAATTAAACATTTAATCTGAACATGTAAATAATAATGATAATGATAAAAACAAATACTATTAAATCCATTAAAGCACACCTGTTTATGTGGAAAAGAAACACTGATAAAACATTTTTTTTAATCAATAAGTCATTGCAATAGTAAAAACCTGCAGACTGTTTTTGGTTAAAAGTGTTAAAAGTAGTTTGATTACATTTGAGATCTATTTAAAATGTTCTACTTGCAAACTGTCCTGAAACTTTGAGATTGCATTTACATAAACAGTTAGAAACTTTCATTGTAACTATTATAAATGATTGCATTTTCTTTCCTGCTCATATTAAAGTGTGTTTGTTGTGTATTTTTAATGCTGTCTGGATGTTGGCCAGGTCTCGTAAAAGAGATTCAAATCTGAATGGGACCAATAATTCCCTGGTTTAAATTGATGATATGTAGATGATAGATGAATGTAAAAGGTGCACTGATCTATTAAGTATTAAGATGTCGAAAATGAACAGATCACTAGTTAAAGCGCATGCAAATAGCCAGAAATCTCGCATATAAAGTTGAACCATATGTAAACACTGGTCTGTTAAACATCATATGATGTTTGTAAAGAAACACGTTTCTTAATCACATCTTATTAAACCGTCTCTCTGACCTTAAACGCCACCGGGAGAGTTTTGTTGCACCTCCAGTGAGACGGCAGCACTGAGCACAGAAAGTTGGGGCTGTCCGTCCGCACGAGCTCGGCGGGGTGGTCCGCGATGATCTCCACCATCGTCCGGTTGTCGTGCTGTCGGAGTCTCGGCACCGCCGCGTTCTGCTCCTGCTGCGCATCGCTCATCTTCCCCGCCACCGGCTGAAGGCTGCTGGACGGCGGACTGAACCTGCGGCTGGTGCTCGGATCTACCGGAATGCGCATCACAACAGTGTCAGCAAAGGTAAGGGCACTTCAAACCAGCACCAAAGTCAAGAGTTTTCGATTCAAAATAGATGGGATCTATAGAAAGTCCTTTAGGCGCTTTCCAGAAAGCGAAAAAGTTGGATAAGGTCGGTTCCCCTCGGGCTTTACGCGCGAGCTCTACAGGTGAATCGCGTGGAAATAAACGCGCGGGAGCTCCTGGTTATGCTCAGAAGAACCACCGACATAATTTACGAGGCGATCTTGCTTCTCCTTTGCAGTAACAAACGTCAAAATCCGGAATAAAAGCGAGTCGCTTCTCATTACGCGCGGCGCTCGCTCGGAGAGTTGACTTCAACGCGCTTCCTAAAACGTGCCACCATGTAAGACGTGAAAAAAGAAAGTTACGAAGTTTGCAAAAGTCCTTAAGACCTTTCTTTCTCCATGCAGAGTCTTTGTGAAGGGTTAAAAAGGTGATTCCGAAGGTTGTGGTTAGAAAGATGAAGGCGCTGGAAAGCCGCAGTGTTTTGTCTCGTTGTGTGGTTTGTCTTAGGAGGCAGGGACTTGGGTGAGCTCAGGTTTTTGTGGTTTATATATATATGCAGAAGCAGGAGGATTATTATGCTGATGAGTCTTGAGCACGTCATGTCTCCAAGCACCATTTCATGGCATCACAATAAATGAGCAGTTCAGTGGTTTGATATTTTCTTGTCTTACCAAAGCAATGCAGCAAATACCACACAGAGACAATCTACAGCAGCACGTTTGCGCATCTTAAAATGTTAAGATCAAGCAAACACGTTCCAAGTTCAATGAGGATATAAAAGACGAACTTTATATTAAGCAAAATATTCAACGATATATGCTTTATTATGGTAACAGGGTGAAGCCAGCGAGTTTTCTTTCACTGTCCACTACTGAGAGACATAAAAGCTCATAAAGAGACATAAACACATCTCATTCAAATCCAGACAGAAAGCAAACAAGCGAAGAGAAGAGAAGTGACTCATTTCCTATTTCTAAAGACAGATAAAGAGCCCGGGCTAAAGTTAATATTATACAAGATCAGACAACAACAAAAGCACAGAAGACACGACAACAGCATTCAAGTATATGGAACTAAATTACGACCCTTTGTTGACATTTAAAATGCATATAGCTTATTTTAATATTTTTTGGCTCGTTATTATTTTTTTATATGCAAAGAAGGACACATTAATGCTACAGAAAGTCGGGCAATAACACGATAAAAACGATAATAATATTAATAAAAATTATAAAGTACAAAATAATCATTTAAGTCATACTAATATTTTCTAGTTTCTTTGTTGTTGTTGAAAATGTAGCTACTACGCATTTAAGTTATGTTAATAATTTTAGAGTGTATTAATGTTTTATATAATTTTTTTTTAACCTTATGAATCTCAAAAGCTCTTTTGGTGGCGCTCTTTAACGTTTAAATTCGTCTTTTATTATGCGACGAGGGCAAACGCAGAACTACAGCAGTGCTCGCTTGCCACCGCAGGCTATTGCGTTATATAACCGTTAAAAACTCCATTACCCACAATCCCTGGCAGACCCGCGTGACGCCAAATAGACACGCGCTGACCAGTGTGTTTACATCAGAGACAAGTGCCTCGCAGTTTGAAAGAGCACATGTGGATGGACTGAATAATTCATAACGTAAGGTAAAAAATGTTCAGTTAACGTACTTAAACGTGTGAGGTTAATATTCAGTTCTGGCCATTTGTTTATTTAGTCTGAACGTCAACCGAAAGCGAGACTCGAAAGCTTCTGTTTGTTCAGTTCGGGTCACTGTTTATGTTTATATTTCATAAAATGTGTTATAAACAGTATTACAAACATCATTATGCCTTTATAATGTTGAAACATTTTATTTGAAATACTATTAGCTGCTTGTATTCTTTGAAATGAAGTTGTTAGTTATAGTAAATAGCTTTTTGACAGCGTATTAGACTGGCATGTAACGTTATAACAAAATGCTAAGCCAAATGAGCTAGCGGACATGCAAGTTGTTTGTGCAAAATCACAAATCGATGAAAAAAATCGCAAATTGCTTATTCTAAAGTCCCGTGTGCCTGTATTAGTTGAGGTTTCATACTATTTTCTTCTTCCACAGTCAATTCTGTGTTCTATTCTGGAGAAAAAAAAGGAAAAATCACATCCCCACTCTTGTGTCTAGCCTGACTTTCCCTCATGTGTATTGTTTGTAAAACCTTGGCTGTTTGAAAGACTGGGAAGAGTGATGTCAGCTCTCGATATGAAGTCTGACTCTGTGGAAACTTCACACACACGCACACGCACACACAGACAGACAGACACACACAGAGACACACACACGCACACAGAGACAGACACACACACACACACACACAGAGACACACAGACACACACACAGACGCAGAGACACACACAGACGCAGAGACACAGACACACGCAGAGACACAGACAGACAGACAGACAGACACACACACACACAGACAGGCAGACACAGACACACACACACAGACACACACAGACAGGCAGACACACACACACACACACACATGTTGTGTTTCCATGTTTTATGGGGACATTCCATAGGCGTTATGGTTTTTATACTGTACAAACTGTATGTGCTATTGCCCTACACCAACCCAACCCCTAAACCTACCCCTTACAGGAAACTTTGTGCATTTTTACTTTCTCAAAAAAATTAATTCTGTATGATTTATAAGCTTGTTTCCTCATGGGGACCTCAAAAATGTCCCCACAAGGTCAAAATTTACTAGTATTACTATCCTTGTGGGGACATTTGGTCCCCATAACGTGATAAATACCAGGGACACACACGGACACACACACACACACACACATGATGGAGATTTGAACGTGTGAGCCATTTCTCCTCCTCCTTCCTGTTCAAGTACACGTCCAAGAGCCTTTAATCTACACGTTTCGGTGTGAGAGAAATGGATTTCGCATGATTGCAGGTCTTGTGCAGACGCAGACAGGCGCTGCCGTGTGTGGCGAGGATGTAGGAGGGAAATAAAACATCCAATGGCTCTGAATCACATTTGCCACTTCATTAGGGCCTCGAGAAAGACGTGCTATTAAGTTACATTTCCTTCTTCGGTGACTGCGAGCGCCAAATATGTTTCTGATTTTCCCCCAGTTATGATGATGGTCTGTAAATTTATGAGACAGCTGAGTTGGGGTAATTGTAATTAATGAAAAATATAGTTGAATATATATATTGAAACAGCATGTGGCGGAAGGTTGGAGTTGGATGTCTTGGATAAAGAAGAAATAAATATGTTAGAGGTCTTTGAATGCTGATATTTGTGGGCTGTAGTAAAAGCCTCCTTCCTCAAATCATTTTCTGTCACCGAGATTCATCCGTATTTACACGCTGTAGGACTACTGCTCTTGGCAAAATCGGCGAAAACACAAATCTCATGCCCGCAACTAAATGAGTAAATTAACTAGGCGTCTGTAGAAACAACAAAAAAAGACGTGGAAGCTACATAAAAGTCCTGACTATTTAATTACACAGAGGAAAATGCAATAAATAGAATGGCTCCCTTTTCTGTTCTTTCAAAGCCTTTTGCATGTTGAAGTAATCTTGATTCATTTGCCACATCTGAATTCGTTTTGCCCAGTATGGCGACCATCTGCCTTCACCAGTCAAAGCAAAAGCGTTATCTTTCATCCAACAGAGGGGGCGAAAACAGAAGGAAATTTTACGCCGGGATGTGTTTATTGAAGAAAAGGGCCCTGCTTTTGCTTTGGTGACACTTTGGAACATTTAGTTTCATGTCCCTCTGAGACAGAATTAAGATTTATATTGGCTCTGATTAAAGGAGAGCTTCGCTGAAAAATGGCAATTCATCCTTTATTTATTCACCTTCATGTCGTTCCAAACCCAAATGCTGTTGTTACTCTTGTGGGACGCGGAAAAATAAATTTTGAAAAATATCCTGGGTGCTCTTTGAAGCCATTTGGGACATATGATGTCAAACTCCAAAATGATTAAAGGTAGTCTGTATGATCTGTTCTGTATTTCGAGTCTTCTGAAGCCTTGTGACAAGACTAAAATCTTTCCATTGCCGTAGCTCTGAAATCTCGTTCTCCATATTCAAACATGAGCATTATTGAGATTCGAGAGCGGTATTTTTTTGTGAACTAGTTATAAATTGTATAGGCTACTACAATTTATACTGAAAATTCACAGAAAGTTTAAATATTTAGCATTATTATTATTATTGTGAATTGAGTATAAATTGATTGTTTATTAAATTATACTAAAAAGTATAATAATAATGCTAATTATTATTTAAAAAAATGTCATATTTAAATTTTTTTGAAAGTATAAATATTTGGTATTATCTGTATTGTTATTGATTTTTTTTTATTATGAGTGTAAATTTTACATGCAATTTATACAGAAAATATAAAGTACATACAAAAGTATACATACAAAGTTAAAATTGTATACTCAATTTATACTGAAAAGTCTAAATATTTGATATTGTATTATTTTAAATAATAATATCATATATCTATATATTTAGATATTTTGTGTATAATGTTTAAACTGTAAAATCAATTAATATGGGAGACTCACAGAAAGTATACATTTTTCATGTTATTTATTTTTTGAATTATGAGTGTAAATTTTATGCAATTTATACAAAAAATCACAAAAAGTAAACAAATTTCGTCTTTTTCTTCTTTTGTGAATTAATAGTAATTGTATACTCAGTTTATACTGATAAGTATGAATATTTAATGTTATTATAAGTCATTTTTTATGATGAGTGCCCATTGTGTACACATTTTATACTAATAATGCATGAAACGTATATACACATTTGATATAAAAAAATGTTTAATATGATTTGTACTGTATTTTGAGTCTTCTAAAGCTGTGTGACAAGCCTAAAATCTTAAAATTTTTTATCTTATGATTTTTCATATCATGATTCAAACTGGTGTCACTTTGGTTTGACATTGATTTTATTTAATTGAATATGAGCGTGAATGAGATTTGAGAGCTGCAGCAGAGGTTTATCTGTGACTAACAGCTTAAATTTCATTCTGGTTTGTAGTGAGGTTGAGCAAATGATGATGAGCTATCTCTTTAATGATCAGTGCTCAGAAGTGTGTCAGACTGCTGCGTTGATAGGGATTACGTCTCATCTACGTGAGAAAAGGACCGTCCGCGCTGTGAGATTTGATAGTCTGATGCCGTAGGAAGGCTGTGGTTTCTGAGTCACTCATGCCAGCTTCAGGTTCAAACAGACCAAGGGTTTGTTCAAATAAAGCTGGTGGGCCGTGACGACTCACCTGCCCGTGATTCCAAATGGAAATCTCTGCACACATTTGAATTTGACAAGCTCCATTTCTGGGTTTGTGTCAGCATCCTGTTAATTTGTTTTCTTTGTGTTGGAGTAAGTCTAACTGCAAACTGTGCAGATAGCTGTGTGATGAATGTTAACTGCTCGACAACGTGCTCAGATAATTCAAATAAAGTAAGATAATATAAAATAATTGGCTAATATGTGAAAGCTGTATGCTAAGTCTCATAATGCCAATATATCAGCTGATTAATCAACCCGGCCTCCAAGTTTCTACAAACAGCCTCATCAATGGATAGAGCACATTTCAGTTTTCAAATATTATTATTAATGTTATTTATTATTTATATTTTTTCTTTGTGAATAAGCTGTATACTAATTTTATACTGAAAATGAACACAAAGTATACATATTTGGTATTTTATATTATTATTATTTAAATAACAATAATAATATAAAATATTTATATTATTGCACACAACTATTAATACTTTCACTAAAGATAAAGTATATCACTTTATACAGAAAAAAAATATATTATTATTGTATTTTGTGAATTATGAGTATAAATTATATTCTTTATTTATACTGAAAATTCACAAAACGTATACACATTTGATATTATTAAATTATTTTTATATTATTTCTTTTTAATATATAAGTCATTGGAAATCTGGGATTCAAAGTTAAATTTAAACTTAAACATGGTAGGATAAAGTTTTAAGATTAAAACATTTTGGGCATATAATAAATATGTCTAGATCACTTATCAGTTTTCAACTAAAATGGCTTCAGCATTTTAAAATACATATTGGTTGACCGTATTACTGTATAATAATGCTTTTAGTGGGTACATTTATATATTGACCCTTGTGTTTAAATGCTTTTTTCATAAGTTATTGGTGCATTTTCAGTTCAGATTCAGTGCTAAAATGTTAATATATGTACTTTTCTTTATCATGCCATGTAATGCTGGTAAGATCAAACATTTGGTAAACACTAGACAAACACACTCTTTAAACTCATCTGCTGCTCCCTTTGAACTAAAAGATCATTTATCAATCATTGCTTACAGTAGTTTAACCAACCTTGCTTTGGCCATTAAAAATAATTCCGTCTCGCATGTTAAAAAAGCTAAATCTCTCTCTCTCTCTCTGAGCGGCGTTTGTCATTGATTCCGGTTGAACGTGTCCGGCTCTGAACATGTGGCGTGTTTCCCGTCCTGTCGCTGGACGCATCAGGAAGCATTTTGCGTGTGAAGTGGCTTTCTAATTGCTCAGGCAGTGTTGTGTGTGTTACAGATGAGCAACAGTGCTGCGAGCCCAATGGCAGCTAGCAGCAGCACCACGGCCGGACGCGCATCCGGAAAGACCACCAGCTTCATCCCTGAGCTTCAGAGCATGATGTAAGTGCAGGAGTTTTCCTGTCTAAAGTCATTCAGAAAACTCTGATGTGTTCCAACCTGTGTTCCAAGTACAGCAAGTACTGTGGAGGTGCTTTGATGGTAATATGGTAATGACTAATTAACATATTCATGTAATTTACATATTACTCCAAAATAATTCAGAGCAAAATTGGTCTAGAACAATTGACTTTCCATAAGTTAACACGTTTAAACACTCACGTCTCAAGTATGGCCATATGATTTCCACTGTGAGGAGAAATGGAGTTTTCCTGTCTAAAGTCATTCAGAAAACTCTGATGTGTTCCAACCTGTGTTCCAAGTACAGCAAGTACTGTGGAGGTGCTTTGATGGTAATATGGTAATGACTAATTAACATATTCATGTAATTTACATATTACTCCAAGATAATTCAGAGCAAAATTGATCTAGAACAATTGACTTTCCATAAGTTAACACGTTTAAACACTCACGTCTCAAGTATGGCCATATGATTTCCACTGTGAGGAGAAAGTAGACGGAATCGCGAAATTCAGACATAAAAATGGAATTTACTGTACAAAATGCGGAATGTTATGGAATGTTGAGTGAATAAATCAAAAGTAGGGCTGTACACTTAATAAAATCGTGATATGGACTAGTATCTGATTATTAAAGGGTTTGTTCAGCCAAAAATGAAAATTAGCCCATAAAGGGCTATGGGCTTCGGAGTTATATTAAAAATTGTCTTTGATCTTTCAAGCTATTTAATGGCACTCAGCGGGTGTTGCAATGCATCAGTCCAAAAGAAGTTAAATAAAAAGCGCCCATCCTTAATAAAAAGTGTCTCACACAGCTCCGGGGGGTGAACAAAGTCCTCCTGTAGCAAATCGATGTGTTTTTGTAAGAAAAATAACCATATTTAAAACGTAATAATCAATTTAATCTAGCTTGCGCTTACTGTTGTAAACGGAAGCAGTTCCGGGCAGATGAGGTCTGCGTTGCGACGGAGCCATGTGAGACACTTTTTTTTTTTATGGAAGGGCGCTTTTTATTTCACTTCTTTTAGACTGATGCACTGCAACACCCACTGAGTGCCATTAAACAGCTTGAAAGATCAAAGACATTTTTTTATATAACTCTGACTGAATTTGTCTGAAAGAGGAAGGTCATATACACCTAGGATGACTTGAGGGTGAGTTTATGGACTAATTTTCATTTTTGGGTGAACCCTTTAAAGCTCAAGAAGGCTATTGAAAAATATGATGTCTGCATATTTCAATTGAGAAAAAAATATCATCATATGATCCCCACAGAGACTTAATGACAACCCATCAAAATAAGAGTTTGGTTTAGCTTGAAGAAATTGTGACAGAAATACATTACAGTTGTACAGTAGAATGTACTTCTCAAAGTAATAAGAATTATTATTAAAACTTTAAGGATATCACATAATTTTCCCTCCATGTTTTAATTTCAACTGTAAACCTGCTGTAGTGCAGTGCTTATTTTTTTTACGGAAATATAAAAGGAATTGTTTAATTCCTTTTGATTACATTTTAAAAGTTTAATTAAATTGTGTCTTTTTAATGCCTCCATTTGATTATTACTGTTTTTGATAATTAATTTGTATTAAATCATCAATCCAGAAAAAGTAAAATACACCAAACACAATATTTCTGGAAAAAAATGACCAAAAATGATGATCAAACATTTCATAGGGTCCTATTATTGTAAAAAAAAAAGTTGTTAAAGTTTTAAAGTTTCAATTGATTAGACATGGTTTTTGATTATTAAAATATAAATCAATTAAATTAAAATATAAATAATTAAAATGGAATCCAGAAAATTACAACAGAAGACAGAGAATTAAAAAAGTAAAATGGAATTTCTGAAAAAATAAAACGCATTTGATAGGGCCCTAATTAGTTTTTTCAACTTTAATAAATTGTTGTTAATTTGTATAAGTTTCATGAATTTATTTAATAAGACTTGCTTTTTGATTACTAAAATTTCATTTAACAAACATAGTCCAGAAACTGGACAGAATAAAAGGAATTTAGAAAAAATATAAATGGAAAAATTTTTAATTTTGGTGAAAAATAAAACAATTTCAGAAAAAATTGAATTAAAGCATAAAAAAATTTAAAAGTAAAATAAAATGAACACTACATAGGGCCCTAAAATAATTTTTTTGGTTCAAATTTTTTTTGTTTGATTATTTGTATGATTTCATTTAATGAGACAAGCTTTTTGAATACTAAAATTCATTTTAATCATTAAAACATAGGGCCCTACTCAAGTTATCACTACAAACCTTCATGCAGCATTAATCATTTTCTAAAGTGCCGGCGATGCAGGTCTGGATTTGCCATCATCAGCTGGAGACCAGTTTATAATTTACTAAAGTATAATACTTATTATTTCATCTGTCAGAAATAAGGAGGGTTTGCTCATTGGAAAGCGCGTCAGTGATTGCGGTTCTGTTGATGTACTTCGGCACACGACCGTATTTTCATCAGAAACCCTGTTTTTCCGTCAAAGACCTTAAGTGCAGTTGATCTGGGAATGAATAATATTAAGCTCAATCTATAAAGCAAGCGTCCAGGTCTACAATACTGCTTCACCGAAAGCACAAAGGAGCCATAAAGTACATTTACATGCCGATCCATTGACTTCCCTCCAACTGAGCGTTTGCGGTTTGACCTAGTGAGAGATATTCTTTAGGAAAGCCACAGTGAAATTCATCCTGTCATTCTGATTTGAATCCCACCTGAGGAGACCTTCAAACTCATGCAAATCACAGCAACACTGTTTTCCTGTGTGTTTACCTCGTGTGGTTTGATGATACTGAAATACACGCCAGCTTTTGTAGAAGAATAAAAAAGCCTCCCCTTTTTGTTTTGCCTGAAATGGAGGCATAAAGTTCGCTCCTCTAGTCAAAACCAGAGACAATAGCTGGTCAACAGAGGTTTTTATGAACTTATGTTTTGCTGCTTTTATCCTGTAATGAAACCATCCCTGCCAAGATGAAATATATTACTGTAAGTAATATCTCTTGTTTTTAACAGCTTATTTGGCCTGTACGGCAGCCTAAAATGATAGTGCACGTCTCTTATATCTGCCGTGGGACGTGTTTTTTGAGTCATAAATACAAAATGGTCCGTGCCTGTTGTATCTCACGTCTTTAACTGCACACACTCATGTCGTTTTAGACTTGCTTTTGGTTGAAAAAGATGATCACACGACCCTGCAACTCCACAAAGGGCTCGGGGTTGCAGTCTTATATTTTTGAAAGACATTTAATTATAGCTTGCAGTCAAAGGCATTTTTGATGGAGACTAAATGGCCTCCAATTGCAAAGATTTTCTTCCTCCTTTGGCAGGCGCTGTGCTGAGTGATGATATGGAGATATTATATTCCAGCGTCTAACAATCTGTTGCATTCATCTGTGTCAAACTGCACGGTTGTTGTCAACGACGTGCTTTAGTGATTTGCAGCTGAAATTGAAGTGTAAAAATCGCAGACGCCTCTTACGAAGCAGGGGGGGAAAGGTTTGAATAAAGTCAGCCGGGCATCTGTGAATGCGTACTGTAAAACAGACTTTCTGTTTTTCACGCTGTGTGCTCTGGGCACGCAGGCTGTCTGGAAAAGGGAGGGAAGAAAATGTAAAGACAGTTTCCTCTGCCGCCTCTTGCCGTGACTGTCTGCCGCCCATGCCTTCACGGAGGTCTCTAATTGAGATCACTCGTACTTATAAATGGTAGGAAGTTTTGTGGTTCAATGAGAGGAGCATTAAGAAGCGTAGTGTGTGCCTCTTAAAATTAAAACGAGGCTACCGTTTAACTTTCTTAATCAGCTAAATACGTCTCTCCCGAGGCATTTTTCTGCTTTTTCATCTTAACAGAGTTGTTTTTAATAGTGGCAGACCAATATGGGGTTTTCTTTTCAGTGGCAGATCCTGATGTCTAAAGAGCAGGCTGGGTGGTATTATTGTGCTGAAATTAAGTAAAGCATTATAATGAAGCACACAGAATTGCACATTTAAATAAAAACAGAAAAAATGCATAATCATGTGCATTGGAAATGTTAAAATGGCAAAAGATCACTTAATTGGCTAATTTGTTATGCCCACTTGGCCGATTCATATTTTTATTGGCTCATAAGATAATATTATAGATTAATTAGCCTTGCCAATAGATTCCCTGACAGTCTGTTATTACAATTAAGCACATTTTCATCCTGAATTTTCTTATTACTATAATGCAGAAAACTGTATTCTCATTACTGTTATTTTAGGATCATTAAGTTACCATTATAGTTTTTAATAATGTTTTGAATTAGTTTTTATTTTTATATTTAGTGTTTTCATTTTTGTATTTGTCCATTTATTTTTTATTTTTGTCTATATAATTTTGTATTATTTTTCATTTCAGTTTTAATTGTAGTTATTTTAGTACTATCAAGTTAAACTAAATGAAAATGAGAAATGTTGCCTTGCCTCTTAAAATTAAACAAAGTTGCCATTTAGCTTTCTAAATCAGCTAAACGCATCTCTCTTGAGGCATTTTTCTGCTTTTTCATCTTAACGGAGTCATTTTTAATAGTGGCAGACCAATATGGGGTTGCAAATTTTAATTGCAAATTTAAGGGAGAACAAGTGCATTATCAGTTGGCAAAGAGTTAAGTGTTAAAATAGGAAAATATCACTTAATTGGCCAGGTGGCTGTGCCCACTTGGGTAATTCATATTTTTATTAACTCCTAAGATAATATTGTAGATGAATTAGCCTTACATTCCTTGACAATCTGCCACTTTATGACAATTAAGCACATTTTCATTCAGAATTGTCTTATCAATATAATGCAGAAAATTGCATTATAGTAATTAATTGCAAATTTAAATAAACATATAAAAAGAGAAGAAACTCCATCATCAGTTTGCAAAGCATTTGATTTTGGAAGGGTTAAAATGGCAAAATATCACTTAATCCATAACCACTTGGCCAAGGATTTTTTTTCATA